AGCCTATTATAGCCCTCCTGCCTGTCACTAAGGATACTATTTCTGGGGTAGAAATATTGCCTTCCAGATATCAATCTAGGAGGGGACTGCTGAAAATAACTTTGTAGCTGGGTTTAATGGTGAATATTGAGGCCAGCCCTCATCTATACACCCTACTGTCACATATATCTAAAAACAAATTAAATAAATAAATATATATATATATATATATATACACACACACATACATACATATACATATATACACACATATATACATATACACACATATACATATATATATACTTATACATATATACACACATATATACATATACACACATATACATATATATATACTTATACATATATACACACATATATACATATACACACATATACATATATATACACATATATATCCCCCTCAGAAAAAGACCTCCTTTCAAAATAAAAAGGATCAGGGATGTAACTCTAGTAGAGGGCCCCCTGATCAAGCCCTAGTAGGAGGATAGGGAACAACTTTGTGCATCTATGGGAACGTTCTATATCTGCTCTGCCCAATACACTTGTCCCTAGTTTCTTGTGGCTACTGGACACTTTAAATAGCATTTGAGTGCTAAGTAAAGTTTTAATGAGTTTTAGATTTAAATTTAAATAAAATGCGGCTAGCGACTACCCAACTGGACAATGCAGTTCTGGAATCTTCAAAGCTCAAGACACCCTGCAGGTCCTGGCAATGACTCCTCACTTCCAGCGCCCCACCGCCACCCCCACCCCGCCGCCGCCCTGCACCTGCGAGCATCACCTCCTTCCCCTGAGCCACAGAACCAGGCGTCGGGAGACCTGCAGGTTTTGGAGGACCTCCTCGGGGCTACCCATCTGACCGAATCCGTAGGGGCCAGTGGTTCTCCCCTCCCTCCTCCTGTCCTGAGCCGCCAGGGGCCGCTGCGTGCCGGCTGCGCCCGCGAGCCCAGCCGAGCGCCCCGCGCTGTCCCGAAGGAAGCGGCGGCTGGTGCGGGGCTGGAGGAGTGGGGCGGCACCGGCGCCGAGGCTGCAGCGGCCGCAGCACGCTCCCCGGCCTTCAGGCGGGAGGATCGGAGAGGATCCGACTGAGCCCCGCAGGGCGATCGGAGCCAGGCCCAGGGCTCTCATCACCGCCGCGTCGTCGGTGATGCGGGTTTGGCCAGAGCCCCGCCGTCCTGGGGGCGCAGCAACTTGGTGACGGACGCAGACAGAGCCCTGGACTAGACGGCATTCAAACTGGCCGCACCAGACAGTAGTCTGCTTTCTGAGTCTTGGTCCCAGGTTCAGAGGCAGCGCGGACCTCAGGCCAGCAGGTTGAACAGTGGGCACCGCTGTAAGGGCAGGTAGGTCCCTGTGAGAGTGCTCAGAATTTTGGAGGACTGAGTGGACACTGGAGTTGGGTGAGGGTAGGTTGGGGAAGGTTGGAGGTTCTTGTGGTCTTCAACTCCTTGTTGGTGTGCAGGCTGCTCACTCAGTCTCACTACAGCATGGGTTGGAGCAGGGGAAAACAGGCTGGGAAACTGAGGTAGCGCATAGAAGTTGAAGAAAAATTCCCAGAAGCTTTCTGCAGCTTCCTCTAGCCCCTATCCTCTCCCCTCCCCCAGGTCTTTTGAGTCTTGGGGTTCATAAGAGAGACCAGGTGAGTGGGATTGGAGGGTCTGGAAGCTCAGAAACAAGATCACCTGAGACAGGCTGAGCATGTAGCTCAGTAGTAGAGCCCTTGTCTAGCATTCCTGAGGCCCTGGGTTCAATCCCCAGCACCCCTCACCTGGGAGAAGCTGCATTTCTAATAGTCGAGATGAGGTTTCCTGATAGGGGCGGAAAGAGGAGAGACTTATTCAGGAAAGAGATACATCCAGACAGGTGGGAGCATACCTATCCCCAGGGTATTGCCATCACTTCCTCTGAACACCTTCATTCCCTTTTGTAGGACCCTTGTTGCTGGGAGCTAGGAGGCAGGGTTCTCTTCCTTCCCGGGCCTCACCATCCTGTGTTTTACTTCTGCCTCCTTAGGAGGCTGAAAAAGGAGGAGTACTTAGGAGAAAGTGTTGGGGAGCTGTGGCCTGCAGTTCAGAGACCTGCTGCACCCCCATTCTGGCTCTGTGGGGTGAGAAAGAGGGTAACAGTGGCAGAATTGAGCCAGCTGTAAGTAAGTCCAGGAAGCAAATGCCATGGGACATTGGTGGTAGAGGCAAACAGGATTCAGGGCTCAGGAATCCTCCCCAGAGGTCTCTCCCAGCAGGAATCTATCTGGCAGATTCTGCTTAGAACCCTCCCCTGATCCTCAGCTCTGTCCCAAGATCAGAGAGATGACAGTGCTGATTCTTAGACCCCTCCCACCGCTGCTTCACTCCTGTGACATTGAAGCTCCCTGGCCACTGGTCCCAGGCTCATCCTGACTCTGTAAGGGCTATTCCCAAGCCAGAGGAAGAGACTCTGCCCCTGCCTAGAACAGCTTCAGAACTGGACTCCGGCCAGCCCACCCCCTTGCCTTCTCCCAAGCCTTCCTTTACCCTACCAGACCAGGGCCCGTGGCTCCCTCTGGACATCATAACTCACTGAAATCTTTCGTACTTGTCCAGGTGGAGTGAGTCTGAGACCAGCAGATGAGCAGACTGAATCTGAAAGATCCCAACAAAAGGTAAGTGAAGAAACAGTTGAAGATTTGAAGTGTGAGGGATGGGCAGAGATGGGGCATTTTATTCTAAGAGAGCAGCTGGGTCCTGGCATTTGGTTGATCCTTGATACTCTCAGAATTGTGCTGGCACTTGAGGGAGGTCAGCAGTGACCCAAGGGCTCGCTGAACAACAGAGGCACTAACCTGGGTCTATCCCTGAGCTTGAGACCCTGATGCCTCCTGAGACTGCTTTTGCCCCCATCTGTGGCTGGGCAGCTCCCAGCCATTGTGTACCAATACTTCCCAGATGGGATTCCCTCCATTTCTAGCCCACTCTCTGGAACAGATTTGGGAGTTTGAACCACCAAGGATGGAGGAGGATAAGGAAAGGGGAAGAGAGTTTGGGTCAGAAGCAAGGTGGTGGGTGGGCATAGGGAAGATTGCTGGGTTCTGGCCCCTGCCACCCCCATGCTGCCTGACCTTGGCAAATCATCTGACTTCCATTAGCCTTCTTTTCATTTTTAAATTTAAATATTGGTTAAATTAAATGGCCACTACATTCCCCAGGTTTGACACTCAAAAAATGAAGAAGAGCCGAGTATGGTGGTGCACACCTGTTATCCCAGCAACTCCCTGAAGCAGGAAGACACAAGTTTGAGATCATCCTCAGCAAATTAAGGAGGCCTTAAGCAATTTAGCAAGCCCCTTTCTCAAAATAAACAAACAAACAAACAAATAAATATGAAGGGGGGGGGCAGGGAATATGGCTCAGTGGTTAAGTGTCCCTGGGTCCAATCCCCGGTACAAAAAAGGAAAAAATAAATAGGGAGTAAAAAAGAAATTGGTAGAAAAATAAGTCATCTTCTTTCTCAGCCAACCACTTTTCCTTCTTAATGGCAAACAATGTTGTTCCCATAGCTAATTTTTTGACATTTTTGTTTGGTGTGGTTTGGTTTGGTGGTGTTGTTTTGTGTGTGTGTGTGTGTGTGTGTGTATGTGTGTGTGTAGTATTAGTGATTGAACTCAGGGCTACTCTATTGCCAGCTACCTCCTTGGCCCTTTTTATTTTTAATTATTTTTCCTGAAATTGACCTTTATTTTGTTGTACTAAAACTTTCTGATACAAAGTAACCTTTTAGTACAGAACATCCCAGGCTGTCAGATCCTGTATCTGCCTGCACACCACCCATCACAGACCAATCTGCCTGCAATGTAGAAAAACAGCATGTACCCAATGCCTCAAGAATGGTCTATAGTTTTTCTCAGTTGTCTGAGCTAGAAAACTTGTACCTGAAAAAGAAAGGTCAACATTGAGAACCGAAGCTTGCTTGTTTCTCTTTTGAACGGCTGTGCAAGAAATCATATCCCTTTTTAAAAAATATCAGTAATGGCTAAACTACAATCTCGTTTCTAGAATTACAAAGAATAAAATCAAGTCAAAGACATCTTGCTATTAAATGAAATGTTAGGAACAGTATTAAAATATGGACCCTATACCAATGACATGCGGAGCCTGGTATAGAACCTACTAACAGGACACTGCAGGACACACCGTTTAAGGAATCTTCAGCCAGACTTATGTGGCCTCCGAAGTGCATGCCCTTTTTATTGTATTTTGAGACAAGCTCTCACTGAGTTGCCCTGGCTGACCTCCAACTTGCAATCCTGCCTCAGCCTCCAGAGTTGCTGAGATTTATAGGTACAGACCACCACATGTGGCTCCAGAGCTAGTTTATGCCTATTCAAGCAGCATAAATAATCCCTCTCTTTTACACATTTTATACACATCGTCCCACATGTTGCTGCCCCCGCTTAACAGTGGATTATCATTGGAGATCACTGCATGCATCATTATATAAAGCATTTTCCATTGTGTTTCCACAGCTGTGTGGAAGAGACTGCCCTGGTACAGATTTCTCTTCAATGCATTTAGCCAGTCCTTCACTGGTGGCTGTTTGGGTTGTGTCCAGACTTTTTGAGTTTCCGTTTGCTCATCTATAAAATAGGTAATAACTATCCTACTTTGTGGAATAGTCATGAAGGATTCAAGAGTATGCCTGGGTTAAGAACTCAAAAAAAGGGGGGGGGAGTTAGCATGATTGTTCCTCCTACACCACAGCCCCCCCCCTTTTTAAATTTGGGGGGATACCAGGGATTGAACTCAGGGGCACTAGACCACTGAGCCACATTCCCAGCCCTATTTTTTTTTTAATTTAGAAACGGTCTCACTGAGTTGCTTAGCACCTCACTTTTTGCTGAGGCTGGCTCTGAACTCTGGATCCTCTTGCCTCAGACTCGCAAGCCACTGGGATTACAGGTGTGTGCCACCGTGCCCGGCTCTAAGACCCCTTTTAAATGTCACTTCCTCCTCAGGTCCTCCTTTCCTGCTCCCCTGTTCTCTGTGGCATCCATCGCTTCCTACAGTGACTTTGTGCCTGGCTGCGAGCTGTCTGGGGACAAGGTGAGCATCTTACCCACCCTTGGCTCCCAGAGGGCATAGCACAGAGAAGCGACTGGGGCTGGGCACTAGGAGAGCCCCTCCTGCCTGGAGCTGTGCGAGGTGTGCCCTTCCCTCCACAGGATGAGTGAAAGGGCCGTGCAGAACTGGAACGCAGGCCACTGGCTGCTGGCGCTGTGCCTGACGTGGCTGTGGACCCTCCTGGCTTCTGCTTCCTCTCAGCCTCCAACTGCCACAGGTTAGGGGGAGGCAGCAGGGACTGGGAAGGAGGTTTTCCAGCACACCTGGAAAACTGGATAACACCCCACCCTGTTCCACACAGGGAGCAGATTTCGGAGGCAAAGTAAAATCCATAGATTTCAGGTTCTGGCTCCTCCTCTGTTCATCACCCAGGCAACTGCTCCCTTCTGCTATCCCCGCCAGGAGGATGCCTGGGCAGACCCACTGTTCTCTGTCCCTTCCAGGCCAGAAGGTGTTCTGCAGGGAGAGAGGCCCTCGGGTGGGGGCTTAAGTCTAGCCTCCTGGCCTAATTCTGGGGTTTTCCTTCTGGGATGGCTAAAGCCTATATAAGCGGATGATCCTCCCCACGCACTGTAAGCCCTGGGGCCCTTGCCCTCACCCTGAGAAAGCAGGGAGGTGGGGGTGGGACCTGGTGCGGGACTTCAGCTTTCTTCTGTTCAGACCCAGGGTCTGCCAAAGGGTGATGAGTGTGGCTTCACTGGGGAGGAACAGGAAGATTTCATCTGCTTCTTTCTCCCCTGCCATTGGATTTTTCTGTGTGTGATGCTGGGGATCGAACCCAGGACTTGATGCTGCTGGCCACGTGGTCCATCAGTGAGCTAAAACCACAGCCCTGGAAATCTCTTAAATAACCTTCCCCCAGCCAGTGTAGTGGTGCACACCTGTAATCCCAGTGACTTCTGAGGCTGAGGCAAGTTGAAGCCAGCCTCAGCAACTTAGTGAGACCCCGTCTCCCAATAAAATATAAAGGGCTGGGGGTGCGGCTCAGTGGTAGAGGATTTCTGGGTTCTATCCCTAGTACTTCCCGCCCAACACACACAAACAAGAAAGGAAGGAAGGAAAGGCCTTCTCCCTAGCAGGTAGAAGGGGCTCAAGGACCAGCAGGTGGGTGGGAGGGGAGCAGGGCTGGAGGCCTGGGTTGGGGACCTGATCTGATGTGGCTGGCCCCATCAGTCCTTGTAAAGCAGGGCACCTGTGAGGTGATCGCTGCTCACCGCTGCTGCAACAGGAACCGCATCGAGGAGCGCTCCCAGACCGTAAAATGCTCCTGCTTTTCCGGCCAGGTGGCTGGCACTACGCGGGCACAGCCCTCCTGTGTGGATGGTGAGTGAGAAGCCAGGCCCTGGTCAGGGGGACTCTGAGCAGAGAGATAAGGAGGTCTGGTTGGGCCTTGCCATCTGCCGGGGATCCAATTTCATCCCCATCTCAGGGCTTTCATGATCAGAGTCTCAAATGATGGGGCACTGTCTGGGGGACAGGAGGGCAGATATGACTATCTCTGTGTCATAGACAAGGAAAGCTCTTGTTGTGTGCTGGCCCTCACTGCCCAGCCCACACCGACAGACACGTTCCCTCATACTTTTAGGCTTTCTGCCACACACAGCCTTTCGGACGTGGGCTCTTCACCTACTGCTCTCTCCCCAGCCTCTTCCACATGCTGCACTCTCGTTCCCCACCCTGCCTTTACGTGGACACGTGTGTTCCTTCACATCACCCTTTCCCACCTACCCACTCTGGCTTCTGTTCTCACCCTTAAGTGGCATCCAAGTAACCACGCCCACTGTGATCACATGCATGCCAGCTTGTGCCCTCCTGGTCTGTGGAGCTCTGCACCTGGTGCATAGTTGCTCACACACACCAAGCTGAAGATTGGTGCCTCTGTGACAATGACATGGTGGCCTCAGAGGCAACTTCACCTGCCTCCATTCCCCCTCAATGTCTTTGGTGAGATGCTGGGACCCGTAGGATTAAAGTTGGTAAGGGTATGTCCCCAGGCCTCAACAGTTCTGCCTCTCTGGGCAGCCCAGAGTAGGGCGGAAGACAAGGGAAACACTGGACTCCATGCCAGGGGTGTGTGGAAATGTGTACCTCATTCGCAGACCCCCCTCTTGACTGCCGGCTGTGCTCGCAGAGAGCTTAGAGCTGCACTCCTGCCTCCTGCCCCAACAGCCTCCATCGTCCTGCAGAGGTGGTGGTGTCAGATGGAGCCCTGCCTGCCAGGGGAGGAGTGTAAGGTGCTCCCGGACCTGTCGGGATGGAGCTGCAGCAGTGGACACAAAGTCAAAACCACTAAGGTATCCAGGTGGACACCTCATTCTACTCCTCTTCTTCCCCCTTCGCCTGGGGCAGCCAAGGGGGCACAGGAGCCCTGGGGATCCAGGATGGCATGACCCAAGGTGGTATCTGTGAGCAGTGAGCTACTCACTGCATCCCCAGGTGGTCCTTCCAGGTCGGACTCTGGGGACTGGTGTTAGGGCTCTGGATCAGAAATCCAGGAGTGTCTTTCTGGCAGATTTTTTGATAGTCCATGTGCCTTGGTTTCTCTTCTTTGCCTGCAGTGAGTTTGCTTCTGGAAAACATCAGGTCTATACAAACAAAGTGGGGAATTGGGGAAGCTATCTAGATAATTCAGGGAGGAGTCTCTCCTCCTACCTGAATTCCAGGTATGGTAGCCACTCTGCCCACCACTTCTCCATGGACTGTCCCCCCATTCCCACAATTCTAAACTCCTTACAGCTCACACCTCCCTTCCTCTAGTCAAATTGCTCTGTCTGCTGTGACAGCACCCAAGAGGATTATTATTTTCATGGTTTGTTGCCTGCCCCATGAAACAAGGGGTAATTAAAATTTTATCAAAGTTGTTAGCAATTCCATGCGTGTCATGGTTAATTAGTTGCATCTCTTTGTCATCACCATTTGTACAGATGAGTGACACTGCGGGGCCAGCCAAGGCACTGCCTTCTACATTCCGTGCCCATCACCACACACATCAAACAGGCAAACAAACAAGAAGAGAAGGAAAGGCAGCCTCTACAGTTTTGAAGAAAGCAACCTTTTTCCCAGAGCACAGAACAAATGGAGCAGGGATTTTGACTAGATATAGAGCATCTTATCTGTAGGCAGACAAAGGAGACAGCCATTCTGAATATACCTAAGCCTAGCTGAGAGTGAGACCCACCACAGAGCTTGTGACATTTTTGCCACATTATATGTTTAGGTTTGTAGCCTATAAAGCCTACACTGTGCTTGCAATTTGTACAGTGACCTGGAAGCAAACAGTGGGTAAAGTGTGCCTGATTTATGTTTGCAAGGTCCACCTGGCCACTTTCCCAGCCTGGACTGCTTCAGGAGCAAGGGACCAGCAGCAATGTGACCTGCATATCCTGGAGAGTCTCTGGCACACTGGGATGGATCCACCTTGTCTTCTCTAACCTTCCTCTATTGTTTGCTGTCTAGGTCACACGATAGCTCTTAGGGATCACAGCCTGGACAGGAGAAGCTTGCTTGAGCCTTGGACTGAAGAATGGCATCCAGTCATCACCCAGCAAATTTAGAGATTCACTCACCTGGACTCACTCTCCATGTCAAATTCAGCATTACCTCTCTTGATTTTAATCAAGTCGCTAAGCAGATATGGATGGATCTCCAACCGCATATCTAGAAGACTGTGCTCTGCTAGAGACAAAGAAGGTCAAGACACAATTCCTGCCCTTAAGGAATATCCAGTTGAGTTGGGGAATTGAAGACAGATAATTTAGGTCATTGAAAGTCTATGGCACCATGACTTCTGAACCACCTGCTGTGGGCATGGTAGGAGTTTGGGGATGAAATTTTTGAAACTCTTTGGGTACTCTCTGGTCATAAGGCACAAAGATGAGAATTCACACTCATCAGCACCTTTCCATCCATCCTGATTCCCTGGTAAACTGCTAACAAGTTGAAGGAAAGCATTCTCCCTTATGCCAGGTCAGTGGTCTCTCATTTGGATGGGATTGGGGAAGGAAAGCAACGATCGTGACAACTTTCCAGCAAAGCATCTGTGGAGTCATGGCATATTTGAGCTGTTTGTTGGGTATGGAATGCGCAGATCCTTAGAATCAGCCTCATCCAAGCACCTCAGGTTTCTGTTCATTTCCTTATTGTAACAGATAAGAAAGCTGGATGTGGTGGCGCACACCTATAATCCCAGCAACTCTGGGGCTGAGGCAGGAGGATCACAAGTTTGAGGACAGCCTGGGAAATTTAGCAAGACCCTGTCTCAAAATAAAAAGAGCTGTGGGTGTAACTCAATGGTAGAGTACTTGCCTAGCATATGTGAGGTCTGGGTTTGATTCCCCAGCATTAGAGAGAGAGAGAGAGAGAGAGAGAGAGAGAGAGAGAGAGAGAGAGAGAGAGGAAGAAACTGAGCCCCAGAGTTCTGAGATTGAGATGATTATCCCATGAGCTCACAGCCTGGTCTCTCAAATCTCTAAGACTGCAGCCTTTCACTAGTGTGGACATTGGGATTCCAACCTGGACCTTCCTTGTTACTTTGATCTCAGCGCCTGACCCTGTAAAGCATTGGCTGGACAGTAGCAACATTTTTCTTGGAACATGCTAGACACTTTGACCAAGTTTACTGTTCTCCTATCTGCAATAACCCAGAATCTTCACACTCCGGGATGTAGAGTTACTTTGTCTCCACTCTGCCCTAAGTCCCCCAAATTCCAAATAGGTTCCATGATAACACAGAGGTCACTCAGCCCACTTGCAGTGGGGGCGCTTGGTTGGCATCCCCATTGCCTGCTCTGACCTGTCTCTTTTGTGGTCTTTAGCCTCTGACACTCTCAGAGGTTCCAGTTCTAGGAGAAAGTCTGGGAGGAGTGTAGGGCTGGCCAAAGTCCTGTCCCTTCAAAGTTACCTGCTGAGGTGGTAGGCTGGAGCCTTTGTCTAGGGCTGAGGGTCAGCTGGCACCATATGATAGCTTGGATGCAGCCTCTGTGACGGTGGGGATCACCAGGGCTTTAGTGGGTAGGGTGTCTTCAGAAACCAACTGGGATGATGCCACTTTCTGATCCTCAAGAAGGCAAATAAGATGATTTGGGACTAGTCTCAGTTCCTCCCTCTCTGCCTACCTCTTTATACAGTAGAACCAAGACTGATGTGTCCCTCACCCCACCCTAGTGTATTTTTTCTTTTTCTTTCTTTTTTGTTAATGGGGTGAACAATAGTGCCAGCTTCTCGCTGGACTGTAAATATCAGTGCTCTGACAACTATAATCTCTGCATACAGGGGGCTCTCAGGTGGGGTTATCAGGGAGCTGATCAAAGCCGTCCTTACCTCCTTCAAGGCTGAGAAAGGACCTGGAGGAGGGAGTAAGAGGATGACATACTATTCCTGGAAAGAGCTAGACAGTAAATATTTTAGGCTTTGCAGACCACAGAAGTCTCTGTTGCACATTCTTTGTTTTCGTTGTTTGATTTAAAAAAAAAAAAGAAAAAAACTTTCAAAATTGCAAAAAACATTAGCTCAAATACAAAAAACAACTCTTGGCCTTTTTTAGAAGGTTACTAATCCCAGTGAACCTCTGAAGTCAGGCCATGTCTGCAGCTTGGGATGGCTTCTCAGCCTCCTGGCCTGCCCTGGGTGCAATGGAAACCTGAACTTGAGGGCAGGGGTGGGTTTTGTTTTTCTCTGAATGCTCCTTTAGGGGTATATAAGTTAATTATTTAGACTATAAGTGAGACAACTTTAGCAGAGTCAGGCAATAAAAGCCTGCTCTTCTGGAGGCCAGGGTGTGGATTCCTCCATTCCCTCCCCACCCTCAAGACTGTGTCTAGGAGGGAGGACAGAGCTCCAGGCCCCTGCTCATCATAAGCCAACCAGTGCCAGCCTCTGCACCAGCCAACCTCATTCTCCTACCTTCCCTGGCCTCCCTCACCCCTGCTCAGAGGAGACTGCTTTCCTTTGACACATGCTGGGATCTGGTAGTTTATTTTATTAGCTCCTCAAGGCCCCATTTCCTCCAAACCTATTCATATATTTATCTGAAGGGCTTTGAAGGGTATCCTTTGCATGGCCAGAAAAGCCCCACATGAAGGATCTGATGGAGAAGGTGTCCCACTTTCCAATAGTAGCTCCCTGGGATCTTGTTTCCAGCTAAGTCAATATTTGTGTGCATTTTGTAGCTGTACAATGACAGCCTAGAATGTAAATTGGTTTCCCTGGATTGTCTTCCTCCTCTCCCCTTAGTGTGCTGGGCTCTCACATCCTCTGAGTTCACACGCACCCTCTGCCCCTCATCTGTGAAGGCCTTAGGAAGGTTGCTAGTTACAGATCACAGAGCAGATTTCTGTGGCCTCCTGGCAGTTTCCTTAAGGTCTGTGAGTGACATCTTAATTAATGGCCCCAGACAGTTGCACAGAGTTGATGCTGTAGCTTCCTAAAATCACAAACTCATAGCTGGAAGGGATTTCAGGGGCCAGTTAGTTAACTCGCTCATTTATTAGATAAGGAAAGGGTGGCTTGGAGAGCTTAGGTAATTTTCCCAAAGATACACAGCAGACTGCTGGCTTGTTCTGCCCAGTGACCCACCCAGACAAGTGATCTTTTCATTACTGCACATCACTTCTTACCCCAGAACTGATGAGGGACCTGCAAAGTAGTTATCAAGAATGAATGTGAAGCTAGGTGCTGTGGTGTACACCTGTAATCCCAGCGGTTCAGGAGGCTGAGGCAGGAAGATCTAAGTTCAAAGCCAGCCTCAACATTTAGCATGACCCCAAGCCACTTCCTGAGACCCTGTCTTTGAATAAAATATAAAATAGGCTGGGGATGTGGCTCAGTGGTTAAGCACCCCTGGGTTCAATCTCCAGCACAAAGGAAGAAAATGAGGAGAGGGAGGGATGAAGAAGAAGAGAAAGAAGGAGGAGGAGAATTATTAACATGAAGGAGTCTGGACACTTTCATGGCTTGAGTGCAAGAGGACAGAAGAAAAATGGAAACATTTAGAGATACACACACAGAAAGAGGGAAGAAGCAGTCAGGTTCAGTGGGGCACACTTGTAATCCCAGTGACTGGGGAAGCTGAGGCAGGAGGACCACAAGTTTGAGGTCAGCCCAGGCAACTTAGCAAGACTCTGTCTGAAAATAAAAAGTAAAAAGGGGTGTGGATGTAACAGTGGTCAAGTGCCCCTGGGTTCAAGCCCAGTACTGCATCACTTCACCACCACATCAAAACACCAGAGCACAGAAACAATAAAACAAAACTAATGCCACGACGAAGAGAATTTGATTTTTACCTTTTCTGGAGGAAACAGAATGGAGCCCCTGTCAACCCCTGAAAGCTGTGAAGCCAGACCTGATGGCTTCTAGGTTCTTACACTCTGCTTACAGGAGTCTGTAAATGAAACTCCTTGGTCACCTTTCCTTGTTAATAAAGTTTTATTACAACAGAACCATGTTTATTTGCTTATAATTGCCTACTAATTATTGGATACTTTTGTGCTATAACAGTAGAGTTGAATTTTTTGAAAGAGACCACATGTCCCCCCTCCAAAAAAAAAAAAAAAACCTAAATAATTATCTGAGCCTTTATAGAACAATTTTGCCAATCCTTGCTAAAGTATGCTTTTTTTTTTTAAGCTTTCTCAATATGCATACTTCACGATCTGGAAAATGAGACTGCATTGTATTCCTGCTTTGGGGGGCCTGTTTGTTTGACACTGAGTGTGCCTGTGTCCCCTTTATTCCCTTCCGTTGTCACTTGTGATACCTGAAAAGAATTGAAGACATCAAGACTAAGAGAGAGGAGATGAGGCTGTGGCCCAGAGGTAGAGCGCTTGCCTAGCATGTGTGAGGCACTGGGTTGATTCTCAGCACCACATACAAATAAATGAATTAAAAAGAAAGAAAGAAAGAAAGAAAGACTAAGAGAGAGGCCAAGAGAAGACTTGGAGCAGATAGAGCCTTCCCTAAGGTTTCGTCACTCCATACATCAGTTCAGTTCATGCTTTCCAAGTTCATGTTGTTTCTACTTTTAAACTTAAAGAATATAACTGCAGGGGCTGGGACTGTAGCTCAGTGGTAGAGAGCCTGCCTCGTAAGTTTGAGGCACTGGGTTTAATCCTCAGCACCACATAAAAATAAATAAATAAAGATATTGTGTCCATCTACAACTAGAAAAATACTTAAAAAAAAGAATATAACTGCATATGTATCTTGGTATAATGATAAAATTGTACATGCATGTATGCTTTTGGTGTTTGGGGTGTCTGTGGATTTTAGTATTTCCATGCCTACAAGCAAGGATGATATTCAAAATACGTACATACGTACAAACTAGTTCAGCACAGAGATGATTAATCAAGCCAGAGGGCTAGACCAGGGCACACTGGCTACACACAGCCCAGCACATAATTGTACATTCCTCCTCCACCTGCTGGGGCTAAGATGGCACTCCTTTACAGTGTAGAGAGGACTCATTTCTCTATTCCCCCAGGGCAAGTAGCTAAACTGGATCCCGATATCCTTAAGCTTGTGGTTTGTCACTGAGTGTGGTTCTGCGGTGGACATGGGCACAGCAGCTACTGGACCCAGATGGCTATTCATGTATTTGGAATAGACTTTTAAAATAGGTAAAAAAAAAAAAGCCCAGTCAATTGTCTTTTAAACCATTCATGAGGGTACTAATTCTGGAAGGGGAGTTCAACTTTTGAAAACGATTATGCATTTTCAAAAGTTGGATTGACCTACATGTTGGGTGATTGGCAATGCACCGTCATCACTGCTATTAATGAAAGTCTACCATGTATCAAGTACCATTCGAGGTAACCATATATTAAACATGTGAACTAAAGATCTCCAAAGAGCCTGCAGACTGTTTGATCTTGGACATCTAACATATCTTGAGTGGAGAGATGGAATGTTGCAGATCAAGAGCCAAGTTAACTTGGGCTATCTTCAATCTCTTTTAATAGCTTTTTATTATTGACCTCTGTATCCGACCTAGCATTCTTGTGACTATGAAATAAAACTCTTGGAATGAATACTAAGCCTGGTAAAAATGTGATGACATCTGAATCTTGTAAAAGATTTCCTCAGTTTATGAAAGATAACACCTGAATCTTCTAGAAGAGAATTCTCCATCTCTTTGTAGTCCCCGTCTAATTTCTTCTGTGACTATAAAAGCCCATTCTACTTCTTCCACAGGAGAACCATGTCATTCCAAGGAACTTGAATCTGTTCCCAGCCCATGGCTACTCATGTTTGGCTCAGAATAAATCATTTTCTTATTCCTTAGAGCAGAGTTGTTATTTTCTGTTGACAAACAGAACTCCTCCCATCTTAAAATTTTGAAAGAGGGCTTAAAGGTTGGAAAAAGAAAGTGGGGTACGAATTATTCTCGAGCATCCCTACATTCTAAATCAAGATGCTAGACTATTTGTTCAGACTTGTAAAGTGGGTGGTCAACAGCTCATTACCCGCCTCCTCACGGAATGATAGAAGGCTAAGAGTTGAGGCTGAAAGGTGCACTTGAAGAGCTGTCTGCAGAGAGATGTCACTTTCTTCTCCCTCCAGCCAAGGGTGTTGATTCTTTCTTACTATAACCCTTAAGGTGGGTAATCCAGAGAAAAAAACCCTAAGAGTTTGACTGGAATCATTGATATATGTGTGGGGTAAAGGGACTCAGGCCTAAAGATAATCTAAAGGCAAGTGGCTGTGGCAGGATTGCTGCTCTGATAGTGAGTCCAGATGACTGCCTTCAGGGTGAGTGCACCCCTATGACCTTAGTCATAATGTTTGCATTTTCCATGGGCCAGATGTAGACTGCCCTGGAGGACCTGGAAAAGAGAGGTGACCCTAACTAGGGAAAGACTTACAGAAGCCACATGGCCAAATGGTCTTAAGTGGCCAGTGGAAGGAGGTATTGCCCACATCAAGGGACCTATAAGTAAGAGATCCTCTGCAATAGGACATCGTCCAGAAACCCAGGACAATGTCCCTCGAGACAATGCCAAACTGTGATAGAAAGAGAAAGATTCATAAACATTAAATAATTTGCTCAATATCAAGCAGCTAATAAATGGTGTATGGTGGTTTTGTATAGGGTCAATTTGGGTAAGCTAGAACTACATTTTCCAGAATCATCTTCTTGTCATGGTTAGGGTTGGCTAAAAAGATATATTTTTAAATTATGTGGAAGGCAGAGAAATTCAGCAGTAGCAGCAATTACTTCCAGCATGTTCCAGGTCATACTTATTCTGCCCCATGCCACTACCAGAAGTAGTAGCAACTTCCAGCCCTTTTGACCCACAGAAATCTCAATCCATATTTCAGAGGCAGAGACAACAGAGTTCCATTGACTTCTCTAGGATCCTGCTCTAGTAGCTGGCCTGCCTGAGCTCAAAAAGTTTGAAAGGCTTTCTCTGATCCTCTAATTTCTCTATGCAAACACTTATTCCCCCAGTGTCTCCAAAAATCATTGCTATTGCTTGATTATGGTTTATTCCCTTCAAAGCTCATGTTGTAATTTGAAGTGATGGGAGGTGGGACCTCTAAAAGGAGATCTGGTTGTTAATGCCTTTCTCACGGGAGTGGGTTTTGCCTCTTCTGCACACACCCATATGCCCTGCCACACTGAGGCCCTTGCAGAAACTGAGCAGCTGCTGGCACTGTGCACTTGAATTTCCAGCCTGTGGATCTAAGACCTCTTATGGCATCTGGTTTGCAGGTGTTGACCTGGCAAAATGCTTATTTTTTATGCTTGTTAGGAAAGATGACCAGACTCAGCTTACTGCCAACTGGTAAATCCAGCAATATGCCTTCATCTTCCTTCCTCAGGGCTTCATCTACCACAGAAATGAGATGATGCTGAATGGACCAGGTAGGTAGCAAGTAGCAAGTACTTCAGAGGCTTTGGTAAGACACATGCATCCAGATGGTGGGAAATAAGTACCACGGAAATTTGGGTAAAATTTATTGAGGCCCAGAGATTTGAGGTACATTAAAGTATCACATCTAAGGTGAAAGACAAATTGCTACCTCTCGCTCCTCTACCCTGAGAAAGGGGTGCAGTGTTTGGTGAGCCTCCTTAGATTTGGAAAGTAACATTCAATTCCTTGGGTCATGCAGCTTTAATATATCAAACAACTCAAATGTCTGGCAGTTTTGAGTAGGACCCAGAATGAGACAACTCTCTGTCATAGGTTTAGGCGGATGTGCCAACTTATCTGCTTCTCGAACCAAGCTGTCAGGTTCAATGGCGCTTCAAGTGTCTGGTACTGTGTAGGACTATGAGCAAGTGTATGGAAACTTCAGCAGATGCCAAAGATGAATCACAGAACAAACCTTTAGGATTTTGGATCGAACTATGCCATTCTCTTCAGATAATACTTTCCCTTTTTGGCTTCATTGGGGAGGGACTACTAGAAACTCAATGTTTGACTCTGGATCACCAAGTTACCATGTGACCTGAGCTGACTACCGTGAGCTGGATATTATTTACAGCAATATTCTACTATCAAGTGAAAGTGGTATGGATATGTGTTAGAACTTGAGCAGGCCTCAAAGGTGAAAAAAAATCGCATGAACAAGTGCCCCAGATTTCCTTGGCTCCTAACCCTGCTAAACTGCCTCTTCCCTGTCATGTGTCCCCATGAGAAATTCATTCTGACCCAGTTGACCTAAAGGAAAATATTTGCAGTAATACTGTCCCACTCAGAGGGGACCCAGAAAGATAGCTGGAAAATCCTCCCTTTGTTCAGAAGTTTGAGCCATACACATAGTTGCTCATTTTTCCTGGAAGGCCAGATAGCCAGCGATAAAAATATATACTCTTAAAAAGGTTTTTGTGTGGGTGTGTGTGCTGTGGCTGAAAGTTTGACTTGATACTCATAGTATTAGAGAGAAATACACATTTGGAAAATCGGTAATAAGGAAATCTGGGGAAGAGGTATGTGAATGAACCATGATGAGCTGAGACAAAGTGAAAATATTTGTGTCTTATATGAATGTCCACTGAAGTGAAATCTTAGTGGAGGATGATCTTCATAATCAGGGCACTAAGATAGCAAATTTCTTTCCCCAGCTGTTTTTATCAGCCATCTCTATCTTTGTCCAGTGTCTCATAGTTGCATTATATAAGTTCAGGGACAGAAATTGTGCAATGGCTTAGTAATATGGAACTTCTATTCATTAAGTCTGATCTGTCTACAGTCACTGCTGAGAGGTCAACTTGCCAACAGCTTAGACCAACACTGAACCTTCAATGTGGTGCCATTCCCCAGGGTGAATAGCCAGTTACATGGTAGCAGGCTGATTACATTGGAACACTTCTATCATGAAGGGGCAAGCTTCTTCTCATTAGGGGACACTTAATCTGAACATGGATTTTTCCTTCCTTGTC